GGATGCACCCCTGTGTAATATATGCAGAATCAAAGCACATGGTTCACGCAGACAGGTTGGCAGAGAAATCAGTGTAAAGCGTTGAGGCTGGTATCGTATCATCACCTAGAATGAGTCGGCCAGCTGGCTTTGGCTCTGTTACAGTATAAATAATAACACGTTCATCTAGTATTATAATCACACAGTCACACAGTCTTTTGGCATCATTTGTTTTAATCAGAGATTAAACAACGCACCTAGGAGCAAACTGTAACTGCCTAGCCTTTATAAAGTCAAAGAGTCTATGTGACACGTGTAACCGAAATCCAAGGGATTGATGTGAGCCCTATTGAAAATGTTCCAAAAATCACATTAAAATGGACTATTATACAATCTTACAACATGACCTGCTCAGTCATACGCCAGTTACTATTTTAATTTTACTTTACTTATTAATTGTCTTGGGGTTCCCAGAGAACAGAAACTCCAGAGAAATAAGTTGAGGTGGGAGGCTGGATGTCTTGCATTTTCTGAAACAAATTGGAAAGAGTCACCTGTTCTGTTCTTGCCTATTCTACAACAGTTAATAAAATTTGCTAAATATTAACTAAGTAGCATGTTTTATCATTACAGTTCCACGATTTACCCAAAGTTCTCGGCACTACCTAACAGTTGACTGATACTTGGAACCTCTAAACTCAGAATATAGCTCCTGTTTACATCACTGCACGTGGAACCCTTGCTAACAAGGATAATATGTTTTATAAATATTCATTTTGTATTCCATTAAGTTTCAAGTTGCATCTTTGCACCCAATCTTTGTACTGTCCTTTCAAAGATCTTGCGTGAAAGCGCGATGAGTTGTGAAGGCATTTCAAAGGGAACAGAAAAGCAGGAAGTTAATGAATTTATGCAAAATGCTTCATAAATGACTCCACTATAGCGTGCTCAGAAAACAATGTCAATCCACGATTGTCAATACTAACTGTACATAATAGCCATCAATTACACATAATAAATGTAAAGCAATAGCAATGTTTGCATAAAAATTCTTCTTAAACAAAAGACTGACATTTAAGAGTTCGGCAATGTTTAAACTGGTCTACTCTACTTTATATCTCCAGGAAGACTTTATTTTATAGCCCACAAGGGCCTTCCATTATTTCAGTCTCATTGGGACATTTTGAGACTGTGACTTGTTTTGTTTTTAGTTGGGATTTTTCTAAAGAACCCTGGTTATTTGACATAGGGCTATTTGACCACCAATTTTGCCATAATAAACAGTAATATCTATTATACTTATACATTGTGTTGATATTGTCAGGGATAATCTTTAAAGTGAGGAGTGTTAAGAACTCAAAGTGAATTTCAAATTTTCTTTCACCATGTTCACACTGCAGGAATGTAATCACTAAACTCCAAACTGTAGCAAGTTAAAGGGACACTATAGTCACCTGAACAACTTTAGCTTAATGAAGCAGTTTTGGTGTATAGAACATGCCCCTGCAGCCTCACTGCTCAATCCTCTGCCATTTAGGAGTTAAATCCCTTTGTTTATGAACCCTAGTCACACCTCCCTGCATGTGACTTGCACAGCCTTCCATAAACACTTCCTGTAAAGAGAGCCCTATTTAGGCTTTCTTTATTGCAAGTTCTGTTTAATTAAGATTTTCTTATCCCCTGCTATGTTAATAGCTTGCTAGACCCTGCAAGAGCCTCCTGTATGTGATTAAAGTTCAATTTAGAGATTGAGATAAAATTATTTAAGGTAAATTTTTTTCATGCAGGCTCTGTCAATTATAGCCAGGGGAGGTGTGGCTAGGGCTGCATAAACAGAAACAAAGTGATTTAACTCCTAAATGACAGTGAATTGAGCAGTGAAATTGCAGGGGAATCATCTATACACTAAAACTGCTTTATTTAGCTAAAGTAATTTAGGTGACTATAGTGTTCCTTTAAAATCTGATTTGCAAAATTGAAGCCAATATTTTTGATTTGGAAAAAAAGTCTTCAAATCAGCTGTAGTCATAGCTTAGCATATTTCCATTTCCAACAATTCAAAGTTTATAATAACCCCGTATCGTGACTAATAACCCCAGAACCCTACCTGTTATAAGCATCGACATATTAATAACATTACAGAGGAGCTGTCACTTCTGTGGAATACACATCATTGGCCACTAGAACTTAGAACATCGCCTTTAATATCTTTTCATCGTTTGTTTCATTATATGCTTTATTTTCTTTTAAATATTATATTAAAGATTTCACAGAGGACATCACAATCCAGTTCAGACAAGGCATAACTAGGGCAAACAATGCAAATGAGGAGAAGAAACAGAAATATTGGGGATGATTTATAAAAAGTTGCGCAGGTGTTTTAACAACAACATTTTTTTCCTGTTTTCATCAGTATTTTCCTTCACCTGCACTAAGTTTTTTTTTTCCCACCAGTTTTGTCCTGGGCTTCCTTTTTGTAATTTTTATCAGACAGAAATAGGGGTCCTGTTGATGTACAAAAAAAAGAGCCGCAAGTGTGCTTCTTTTTTTGTGGACATTTTGTTCTGCCGCTGTCGCTCCGGATTCTGAGGCAGGTAAGCAGACTTCCCTGTCTATCTTTTTGTCTAAGGAATAAAAAAATTCTTCAAGTTTGCGAATTATTTTTTTTATTCTCCCTAATCCTATAGTTAATTTGTCTGATTTTATGAATGAGATTAATGGTAAAATCATCAGGAATAAAAAAAAAAAAAGAGCAAAAAAATCTAAAAGAGGAGTAAAAATGCTAGAAAGACAGATTATTTGGGTGCAATCTAGAAAAAGGGGGAAAATAGCCACCCCACCAATGTATAATGGCTGGAGTAGCAGTTTTATAAAGAAAATGGCACATTTGCACAAAACTGTGATTATAGTGGAGGTTGGCAAAGTCATGGACTGTCATTTCTGCCACCAATGATAAATGAATTTGTTCTGTGTCTGTGCTTTCTATTGAGTGGTATGTGGGGTCAGTGTTGTGCTTCATGCACTTGTATTAGGGTGTATTTTGTATACACGGTGTGTAGTCGCATTGTGAGTGTGCATGTATTATGGCGCCAAAGGAAATAATTCCCTAAGACACTTAAAATTAGGTTTTTAAACAGAAAATGCACCAGCTGTTTTGCTTATGTTGGGTTTTGGAGATCTGTCCTTGGCGCCAAAAAGTCTACTTGAAACTAACTTGTTATGTATGGGTTTTTTATGAACAAAGAATGTTTATGGACATTGTAGCAACAATGCTTTCCATGATTCATTTCACGTATACAAACTGGTTAGGGCGACATACAAAATATGTTGCCCTCAAGTATGTAGATGTCTGTAACGGATCACCTGGCACCCCGACTGGGTACCTCCGTTGAAGGATGCTCCTAGCGCTTCCTGAGGACTCCAAGCACTGCAGCAGATACCATAACCACCGTAGACTCCTTCAGAGAGCAAAACAGGAACAAGCTCTTACAAGAGCTTAGCAGTGAATATAGCAAGAGAGTATGCAGAGCATAGCAATCCCTTGTAGCAGATTCCTCCATTAAAAGAGACGGCACTCCAAATTGAGAGTGAAGTAGAACTGTCTAAAACTTTATTATACTTGGGACTAGCCCATATGGTCATAACATTGCTGTGAAAACTCAATAAAATAAAATTACAAACAGTCAAATCATAGCAGGCAACATACAGTGACTTATTATAACATAATTACATATTTATAAATGGGTGGGGAAGACCATAATTAACACAAAATGTCTCTCCTGCATGCATAATTAGTGATATGCAAATCTACCCGAATATGCAAATTACCAGTCTTGCTATTCAGGTAGTGCATATTACTGTTGCTATCAACAGAGGGCACTACACAAGCTCCATAGCCAATTCCACCTAGTTGGTAGCAATCCTCAGCAGTACAGGAGAGCAGGCAATACATCCCAGGGGCCATAGTCACATGGCAGGAGGCTGGCAATCGATCTTCTCCAATGCCCAGTGCCGAGGGTGGTTCCGCCACAATGTCAAATGCTGCAGGCAATAAATTAGGTGCTAAATAAATCAGGAACATGGCATCATATAAATTCTGCATACTAAAGGGCAGTGTTTTCATGTGCTGCCACTCAACAAGACAAAATCATCAGTCCTCGAAAATGTGCTGGCTATATCATAAGAAAGGTAGATGGCAATGCCGAGGAAGGGAAGTTTGAGGTAAGTATATCTCTTGTTATTCTTCTGCCCCTGGGTGCCACGATCTTGCAGACATGCCACCGGGTGGGGACCTGTCACCAAACAAGTGACAGATCCATTTTAGGTGGTAGCTTTGGTTTTATGTGTGACCTTTGCCGTCTTTTGTTCTGTGTTTTATTTGTGCAAGAGCTTTAGAGACGTAATACAGACTAGAAGTTCAGTAGTTGTTTATGTGAGATTCACGTGCCCAGAGCCTAATGCAGGAAATAAAATGGGTTTAAAAAAAAAAAAAAAAAAAATTCCCCGTATGTTTTGTTGATGGTTTTGTCAATAGAGTAGGACTGCAAACTCCTCAATAATTTTGCCATGGTGATTAGTTTTTGTCCCAAGTGACACACAGTAAACTTGGGTCCGGCTGTTCTGCAGGCAAAGGATAGGCTTTAGACGTCTTCAGCTTTAACAGGATTAATTGCCAAGCAGAACCATTCTGATCACCATTCTCCTTTTTGTATAATATTTTTTATTAGTGCTGTCCCTCCATCCTCATTCGAGAAATTCTTACTTCTTGCTGGCTACAGTCCCCCTTTCTGACTATTTCTAAACCTGCAGAGTCCAGTATCACAGTTGTAGAAACTAATTAAGAAATATAACAAAGGTGCTTGAGATTTGTAGATCAGATGAAGGTGTTTCTAAGGAGAAAGATGACAAAGTAACAACAGGTCCCAGAACCCTCTGCTCTGAGCAGAACTAATACTGTGCAGAGTGCTTTGACATCTGCTAATAATCCTCTCCCCGCTACACTTTAACCTTTGTAACGCTAGGTTAAATGTATTGAACAGTTAGAGCTCCATACTCAAAAATGAGAGGCTTTGTTTGTCCGTGCAAAACCTGAAGAGTTTAGACAAAACTCAAGGCTCTTGATACAAAATGTGGGAATTTGCACAAAAAGAAGGGACTTCAAAATTGAGCATTTCAAAATGGCTGTTTTTGCATATTTTTGAATGCATCTCTAAGTTACAATTTCTTTAAACAAAGAATGGTTTAGTTCTGAAGTGCCCCGTTTGACACACGCATTTCACCATTTGTAGTAATAGCAAAAAAATCATTTTACCATAATTATCCCAGCTGAACAAAAACAACACATCACGTTCATGGGTGTATAACGTCACTTGAGGCAATGTTCTACAGATAAACATTTCCAGAATTAGGTAACATTAACTATGTATTTCAACCAATGACCTAATAGCTAAATGTCACAGCTGTTTATAACAACAAATGACTTGTACTTTTACAATGATCTCAAAGGGAAGTTATTTATTGTTTCCTAAATTTGACATTGTTTGCAAAATTCCTTGATGACAGACGGCTGGCTCGCCAAGCATCATATGATGTGTTGGTCACAAACCATTGCTGTCCTACCTGTTGCCAAATAAATGTTACAAGTACATACTTTTTCTCTTGTGTTCCTCCCATCCCAAAAAGTTGTTTTCTATCCAATATAGAAATGTGTATCAACTCTAAAACAGTTGTTTCATCTCTGTTTTGGACACTGCAATGTAGTGTTAACAGAGCTGTATCAAGAGTGCTCGTATGTGTATGAGGGATAATGAGTGTGGTGTGTGTATGTATTGACTAAGTGTCAATAGAGGCTTTTTTTGTACTGCATACGACACACAAACATACACTGCATCCACTACACTAACACAGCCACTGCATTCAGTACACAATCACAGACACTGCATCCATTATACACACACTGCATCCACTACACACAGACTGCATCCACTACACAGACACACAATGTATGTACTACACACATTGCATACAATAGATACACTGCATCCCCTACACAGACACTTCGCTCACTACACACACTGCATAACATAATGGATGGTTTTGGTGAGGGAGCAACATTTCATCCTGGGACTCAGACAGCATCATATCTTGAATTTGAGGGAGGTTTTTCATTTTCCTCCCACCTGCTTTCCTTGTGGCAGAGTGGAGGTGTTAACCTTGGATATTCACTTTAGCTGTGAAGGGTATTCCCAGGTGGTGTGGTAGAGAGTATTCCCTGGTAGTCTGGTGGGGGAGCATTGTAGACTACACTTCTATTGGGTGCAGATCACCTTAGGAGCTCCTTTGCACAGTACTGAGGCCCCCATCTGAGCCTAGGCCATAGGCAGCCATTTATGGAACTTTATATTCAAGCTAGTGTTAAATAATTACACCCTATATATTGTATCTAGCTTGAGTTTTGCACTTTGACTGTGTTATTCACTAAGGTTAATTGTTAGGAACTTGAAGTGAATTCCAAGTTTTAGGCTACAAAAGTTACATTGGAAAAAATGACAAATACATTCCCAGTATGGCTTTTTTTTTTACTGAAAATTAAAATTACATTTGAGTTCACAGTAATTCACTCTTCGATAGAATAATAACATGTACATTGATAATGTGTTCTACGTTGGCAGTGCAGCAGAGGTCGGACAGAATCTGATTGCAGGGCCCTTTATAGTTTTGAAAATTATAAATGCAGTTAGTATAACGCACACAAATAAAATCACATGGTGCTTTGTTAGACCTTTCGTAGGTGCCTGGAGGGTCCTTCATTTAATATAAAACTATTTTGAATTCACCCTTTATGCAGACTTAGCTACAATAAAGGATCATTTAAAGGGGAGTAGTGGGTGTTATTTGTTCAAATAGTTAAGGCTGGTGCAGGCTTTTATTGTTATTCAAAGGTCATGTTTAAGGTCTAGAACTTTTGGAGTTGCCATTTCAGAAAGGAGAAGTACTGAGTGTGGTGGTGTGAAGACGTTCCATATATCAGGGTTGCAGTACTAAAATAAAAGTAGCAATTTAGCGTTTTTGGTATTTAACTCCGAAACATCATCACTAACCCCTATGTATCACCATAATCCTAATCTTGACCATTAATTATCCCGTCTACAGTATCTCTAACCTAGACTCTAACATCCAATCCCAACGCTAAAGGTAATTGTACCAAAACTGCTTCACAACATCATCCACAAATTAAAACTACTTCTGCGCCAAAACAGCAGCTCAAAGCATCCCATATAGTACGGTTCATGGCTTTCATTCCAAGAAGTAGCTACTTTGACTTCTAAGGCTGACACAATATTTTAGATTTATCAAAGAGTGTCAGACAGTTTTGTGCCTCTTTTGGTTTTTTCTATGCACAATTTATTAAATCTGTATAATCTTTGCATTCTTTGCGTTTTCTGCGTCCTGTCCTTTTTAAATGTGAACTATTTTCCTTGGTGATGCAACAGATTTACGAATCCATCACTTATTCTAACACTTTTTTTCTGTTTCACTTATGTTTTTCCACCACTTTGAATTTGGTTTTCTTTCCTGAAACGGACAATTCTGTAAAACAAATGGTAGAATTTAAACAGGGAGAAGCTGACAATTATTACAATAATTTAACAAATTCAAACAAAATAAATCTCCACCAGAAAGTACCACTGAGATGAGTAACAGTACCTGTTTAACCCCTTAAGGACACATGAAATGTGTGACATGTCATGATTCCCTTTTATTCCAGAAGTTTGGTTCTTAAGGGGTTAATGTTTCGTCTGAGTGCTAAAAGCGTTAAAGCATGAAAAAAAATGTTTCACTTTCAATGAGATAGTAACTTGCTTTAACATTTGTATCATCTGCTCTCTAAATTGAACTCTAATCAAATACAGGAGGCTCCTGCAGGGTCTAGCAAACTATTAACAGAGCAGAAAATAAGAAATTATCAATTAAACAGAATTTGTACAAAAGGAACATTAAACATTAGATGACTCTTTACAGGAAGTATACAAAGAAAAAAAGTGCACACAATAACAGCAAGGTGAAAGCAGACTCTTACACTTAAGTGAAGGAATCCCTTAACCTTCACAACACAGAACATGCAAAGAGAACAAAGTATAAGTGTAGCTCTGGTTTACCTGTACAAATAGTAGTATTATATGGGTAGACAAAAATGCTATTACAATAATCTGCAAATAATAAACAATTAAATCTTAGTGCAGACAGTAGTTACAAACTTAAAATAGATGAAAATAAATTTTGGATGGGTAACTCACAAGAGTAGAGCCAATGACACACTTGGCTCTAATGGTAAGCGCCTCAGGAACTTCTAAGAGAGATCCACCACCCTCTTTTTGTTTCCTCCTGATGTCCTCCACCTTGAACCAATTGGGTAGGAATGGAAAGGGAAACTCCAAAGAAGGTGTAAACAAAATTTATTGAGTTAAAAATGATCAATATAAAATACTGAAGTACTGAAGTATATTCACACTTTTCTGAGAAGGATTCTAAAATGTCTTCATAACGGCACAATCTATACCTGCAAGAAAGGGCAGAGGCTTGAACCACTGCTGCAGGTCCAGACTAAAAGAAAAGGAAAATGGAAAACAGACCGTTTTTTTTTTTTACACATTACCCTTAGGGTTGCCACCTGACTGGTATTTTATGGTATTTCAGTCTGCCTGGCCAGTGCCAGTATTGCAGTAAAACCGGCAATACAAATGCTGGCATATTTCTATGTATAAACAGAGATTACTCTGCAATACCTGCGCCGGCCAGTAGGGGGTCACTGTGTGTGGAGAGAGGCAGGGATAGGAAGTTACAGCATATCCCTCCCTGCCTCTCTCTACTCACTGATCCGTGGGGGAGCAGCTACACAGCATGGAGAGTCCAGACAGTAGCTCCCAGCCTGCAGAGGCAGCCTACAGCTCAGGGAAGTGAGGGATGAGGGGAAAGGATGCAGGGAGAGATGGGGACACTGGGAGACACTAGGGGGCACTGGGTAAACTGGGAACACTGAGACACTTGGGGACACTGATAGACCTGGGGACACTGGAAGATCAGGGGACACTGGAGACATGGGAACACTGAGACACTAGGGGATGCTGTGAGACACTAGGCACTTGGGGACACTGGGAGACATGGGGACACTGAGACACTGTGTCTCTAGCGTCTGTGTCCCCATGTCTCCCAATGTCCCCAAGTCTCTCAGTGTCTCCATATCTCCCAGCCAGTGTCCCTAGTGTCTCCCAGTGTCCCCTAGTGTCCCAATGTATCACAGTGTTCCCATGTCTCTTGAGTGTCCCCTAGTGTCCAAGTGACACTGGACAACATGGGGACATAAGGGGGCACTGAGACACATGAGGCACTGAGACATTGTGATACATAGGGACACTGTGATACGTAGAAGACACTGAGAAATGGGGACACTGGGACACATGGGGCACTGAAACACTGTAATACATAGGGGACACAGACACTAGGGGATACTGGGAGACTAGGGGACACTAAGACACTGGGAGACAGGGAGACACAAGGAACAATCCATCTTTTATTCAGCAGAATAAATGTAAGTAGTTTTTTGGTGATTTTACAGAATTTTCTCTTAGGTCACTCCTTGTGATTTACACGCATACATCATTAATTATGCCGGTATTTTTTTCCAAGAAAGGTAGCAACCCTAACTATCCTTCACATACTCTTGCTTAAGCATGGAAACTTTAGAGGAATGTATTGGAACAAAACTTGTGTGGACTGACTGACAATGAAATTAGTTAAGGTAAAGCTGACTTTGCTCACTATGCAAATACTCTTGCTCCTTCAGTCTCTCTCACACTGTGGCATGTTCCCTTTCTTCAACATTCACTACATACAGCTTTCCTCTGTCCCAGACCATATACCAGGAGCTTCTGCCTGCTAGTAAGAAGGTAAGGAGAGGATTGGACCAGCGAGTGCTAGGGGACAGTCCTTAGAAAGTGTTGAGTGAGCGCATCATTAGACACATTTATGCCAAGCTCAGGGTGCTGTCTGCATAGTATGCGCTTAGTTGGCCAGCTGCATGATTGGCAGGCAGCCTGACATGCATTCATACCAGGCTGGCCTTCCAATTCTTTAGGCAGACATGTCCTCTTTTTAAAGGCATGTTCGCCTCTTTCGGCAGTTCTGATTACATGATTTGCGTCAGTGGCCCACCCTTTTACCCCGTCCATTGACTTCCAGCTTCAATGGACACTGCTGTTATGGGGTATGGATTTACTTGAAAGATGAAAGCATGAATTAGAGAGAGATTAGCATATTTTAAGAAAATCTGCGTTTTCTTATAGCTGCATCCTATGAGTTTTCAAAGGAGCGACAATTAGACAAATGATTAATAACATCTTGCAATTTTAAAATCGCCTGTACCTACAAAGATTTGATAAATGTCTGCCTTCTAGTCAGGAGAAATATCAAATTTTAGTTTCCTTTCTGAAGTTTCAAACCATCAAACCAGCTGGCTTTCAAGTCTGCGTTCAAAATAATGATTTCTTGTCTTTTGGTAGACGTGCTCCAGGTGTATTAGGACAATGGCATCTTATATGCTCTCATACCTTTGAACAAAGTTGAAACGAATTCCAGTGTTGCTTCACCCATCTGGCCATGTTCAACATTTACTATTTCCTTATTGATGACAAGCAAGAGATGTTTGTTGAGTGAATGGGGATTGTATGTTGCTGTTTCGTGTCTGTCTTACTTCCTCGTGCCACAAAAGAGGTGATCAGTGACTCATTGCCTTATCATTAATGTATTTTAGTATCTTGTTTTAGTACCCGGCAACTTGACCTAGTTCAGATGTCTTTGGTATGTTCTCTGTATAATACTACTACAACTTCAAATAGTTTAATTGATTTATTAAAGGACCACTATAGTGCCAGGAAAACATACTCGTTTTCCTTGCACTATAGTGCCCTGAGGGTGCCCCCACCCTCAGGGTCCCCCTCCCACCGGGCTCTGGGGGGAGGAAGGGGTTAAACTTACCTCTTTCTCCAGCGCCAGACAGGGGACTCTCCTCTTCCTCTCCGCCTCCTCGGCAGGAGCCGCGCGCGCATTCAGCCAGTCCATAGGAAAGCATTCACAATGCTTTCCTATGGACGCTGGCGTGCTCTCACTGTGAAAATCACAGTGAGAAGCGCGGAAGCCCTCTAGCGGCTATCAATGAGACAGCCACTAGAGGCTGGATTAACCCTATAATAAACATAGCGGTTTCTCTGAAACTGCTATGTTTATAGCATAAAGGGTTAAACCTAGCTGGACCTGGCACCCAGACCACTTCATTAAGCTATAGTGGTCCTTTAAGGAAAATAAAGTTAATAGTTATGGTACCTGACCCACATTACTGCCATGCTAAAAAAAAATAAGCAATGGAAGTTGAAATTGAAGATTATGCTATCTTTACTAATGTACTAATAATCTTAATTTTAAAAAAAAATTTAGGAGGTGAGTATTTTGCATAAACTTCATTTACTACTCCATAGCAGCAAAGAACATGGAAAAAAAAAGGAACCAATTGGAGACAGGCAGAGAGTATAACATACATCTCCCACTGAGGCAATTCCTCTTGATAAGAGCAACATCACAAGTCACAAAATACAACTAATAAAACACAAGGAATAAGAAAATCTGTCCAATGAACTCCAAGAAAATGATGACGAATGACTGTGAAATCCATTTGAGACTGCGAACCACGAAGAGCTTCATATGCTTGACACAGAGGATATTGCTGTGGTACATTAAGCTGAAAGAGACCGCGAAGGTTTTAGTGATATGAAATGTAAAATGTGAACAATACGAGTAACCATAGACATGAAAGACGTGTAATAATCAATACTATCACAATAATCATGACCTGCTATACATTAACATTTATTCAAACTAATTCTAGTTAGACTGAGGCATAACAATCGTATAAATATATACCATGTACATACGAGACAGCTACCCCAATGTCATACATCGGATGAAACACCACCATTATAATATGACCATAGATGAACAATCCATAAAGTATATATCAGCAATAACTTACTTGAATAATGGGAGGGAAAATATAATTGGGGGGGGAAATACTCGCCTCATGTCATTATTAAAATTAAGATTATTAGTACACTTAAACTAGAATAATCTTCAATTTTTTTTACATGACAGGAGGCTTCATATTTTTCAGTTTTAATGGTAAGGCAATAGGGAGAAAGCAACATTAGAGGACGGACGAAAGTTGAAAGTCCGAAAGGTGGTTTTCGGTGACCAATCTGCCTTGAGCAATATATCTGGTAAGAAAGCCTCCGCCGTTAAGGTGTAGGAGGCCACCTCACCCCAAACTAAATGCACACCGATAGATGAATCAATCCCGGCCAAAGATAAAAGCCATCGCACCCATTTAGTCTAACATAGGACACTAAAAATTGTTGTAATGAGGTAGACCGTAGCGAAGGCTGGACCACACAAAGTTGGGGTTCTGATGGAAAAAACAGATAAAAGTCTAATGTCGAGTCCGACTTGATATGTCGATACACCCGAAAACTGACATCCGAAAATGAGAAGGACTTCCATGATCGCTTGTGTTCAGTTTTATAACACTTAGGAGAACACTGTTCATTGGAAACGTTCCCACGAACAAGGGGAACAAAGCTCCAGGGTAAGAATATTGACTATGTTCGGTCTGTTTGAACTAGACCGACCGCTAGCCCTGATCTTGTGGAACTGTTTTGGGCAGGAGCCTCGTGTGGGGTCGGTCAAATTAAGACTTCCAGGAAATTCCCGAACCCCTGAACCGATCTGGGTAATTTTTGGATATGTTGGTCACCCAGATTGGGGCTATCACGGGATGTAACTTTTAGGGGATTGTTATGTAATTTTAAGGTACTTTTGGGGAGTTTGTAAAATGTGTGTTTTTTTTGTGCCTGGAGATAATTGAGTTTTGTACAGTCCCTGACTCAATTATCTCTACGGCATAGGGGATGATTATCCTGTTTTCTGTGGGAGTGTCATGGGTGTGCTCAACTGTATGTGAAACTGTATAAAAGCAGGCTATCTGGCCAGATTAAACGTATTTTAGCTTGTACTCCCCGAACTATGTGTCGTCTGGTTACTGGCAGAGGAAAGGGCTACTCACTCACTCACTGTTCCAGTGTGGAGGATTCAACAAGGAAGGCCCTTGTAAGGACTAGAGCTCCGAGGAGGACTCTGTGTCGTCCCGTGCCTGGGGGGGGGTCAAAGCGAGTTCCCCATTCGGCTCCAGGAGGGAGCGGTTCCAGGACCCCAGTCAAGCCATGGCAACTGTGGTCAGTAGTGCTGCGGTTTGTCCCCTGTTCCATTTAGGAAGCGGTCCTTGGAGGAGGTACCCAGCCAGGGATACAGGGAGCTCGGTGACAGTCATAACACAGTTGAGTGGCCCGATTGTATCAAGGAGCTTTTCCTGGGCTCTCTACCGCCTCTTGCCATGAAGGCTAACATAATTTGGTCAAATTCTGGGATGTATCTGGGAGGGAAGGTCTGGGGCATTACAACCTCAAACATTTGCGGACCTCTTTGTCCAGAGCCTTGCATAGCCAGAAATGCATAAATTTGAGTAGATGAGGAGGCGGCGACCAATCACCCAAGCGTGGGTGGTGAATGTTCCTTGGGTCAAACATTCGTTGAGCCATGGAGTCAAAGAGGAGTTCACCATCCGGCTGCTCAGAAACACTTTGTCCACATCTCCCACATGCTGGGGCTCACCCAGAAATGTTTCTTTAACAAAAGAATTGGGACCTCATGTCCCGTCGTCTGAATGGGAGTGTTCTGCCTAACACTCATCTAGAACAGAAATTGAGGGGGGAACATCCTGCACCTCGTCTGAGGAAGTGTCATAAGCCGTTGGGTTCACTGGCCATGCACGTTTTCCCTTCTTTAGGTGAGCCTTACCCTTCGTAGGCTTCGACTTGGACCCTTCGCCCTTCCAATGGTGTTTAGCAGAGCGGCCTTGCTCCTTGGAGGAGGAGTCGGACTCATCTGACACGCCTCTCTATTGAGAGCCTTTAGTCTGCCCTTTGGTAGTGTCTTGACTAGCTGGTAACGCCTTTGCTAAGGCCTTCTCCATTGATACGGCCACGGCTGCGTTAATCAGTGCCTGAAGATCTGAGGGCATCTGTGAGTCTTCCATAGTTAACACTAAAGTATAGTAGAAGCTCACCCAAATAATAATTTGTGAGGTAAATAGGCAAATTGGTAGCAGGGGGGTGTGGTGGTTGAATTATACGACTCACGGCAATGCCGACAGAGGCAAACACTGGGGCTCACCCAGATAAACAGGAGGCTGCAAGCACAGCTCCACTCAGCAGCACAATATATGGGGGCTCACCCCAAGCCAGATTAATAGGTATGAACCTGACTGACTGACCCACCCCAAGGTTAGCATTGTGTCGTTCGATTGACATGCCCCTCATATAATCAGATTGTTATTCCCAGTTTATAACCCACGAATGACACACCTCCTTTGGTCTGATACTACGGACAACTGTTGGAGGGAACCGCCCCCTTCTGTGGGTCAAAAGCTGGGACTACCAATCTGGATACATAAGGGGCAAGTCAATTGAACGACACACCGATACTACGGACAGCTGTATGAACTTGCTAATTAACAAGGGCATATAAATGGAGAGACAAGTCGCCCACACTTACATGCTCCTGACGACTGTGTGCTGACATGCCGAAACGTGCGTCAAGCTATTTTTCTTTTTTTTTTTTTATTCACTTACACTTGGTAGCATGAACTTATCGCTACATTTATTTTTTTGTAATTAGGCTTGTTTTTGGTTATAGGGAGATATGGCTTAGGTAGGCATTAGTGGCATGTCCATGGTGCCAAGGTATTTAGAGGGAGAAATGTATTCCTTATCTCCTCCTTTAACTCTATACTTTTTTCCTACCTTCCCATTTAGCTAGGTAATATGGATTTAGCATGATATTAACAGGGTTTTCTCCTCCTTGCACCCCTTATCTCTCATACCAAGATCTTTTAGATATGCTCATACATACCCCCCCAAGCACTACTTAGACAATCTCCCTCTTTTTACCGTTTGTATTTACATAGGTCTTTTGATTTAATAAAGGTAGGGTCTCCCTCCTCTTCTTTTTTTAGTTGATCTTCCCCTTAGAATCTCCCATGTTCCATGTGGGTTCCTATATTTTCTATATGTAAATTTTTTAGGGTTATGTCCTCCCTTTAGGAGTTCGACTGTAGGCGATTACATAGAGACAATCCATAAGCCCCTGATTGTGATCATGGCTCCTGGAATGTACTCTCATGCTCCATCTTTTATCTTTATGCGATTAAAAATAAATAAAGAGTCACAAAGACTGATATGCATAGGTAAAAGAAAACTCTGCAGTTAATTTTTTTTCTATGCTTATAAGGATACAAAAATGATTTCCTTGTGCACATTCTTTAGACATTGTTTGCAAAAAAGTATAAAGCACAAGTTAAATTCTTACCTGTGATTTATTGTTATTAAACAAGGAGAAGATCCTTCACATTCTAGTACTGTGCTATATGTAAACTTGTATTTGTCCTCACAGAGAGTTGTGAAGCGGTCAAATTAAATTACCAACACTCATACAAGCCCCCCATATGTAAATATTTGTAACTTTCAGCATTTCACCCATGCTGCAAAGTGGCAAAGGTTAATTTTTTTAGACTTTGAAGATAGATGGCAGATTTTTTGAGTAATGAGTCAGATTCTCTAGGCGAATGATACGTCTTCTAACAAAATTGAGACTTGGGTCATTGACAACACCCATAACGGGTAGGCCTGCCGGAAAATTTGGTGTGCCCACTCACTGAAGTAGTGTGTCGCCCACTTCAGCAAGACTGTCTGTATGAGGTCTGCAAGAGGTCTTTCAGCCTGGCATGTCTAAAGTTTCAAGCAAGCCAAAAGTCAGTAGTTGTTGTGTGAGTAAAAAAATGTTTGTCCTCATCATCATGCCCAGCATCTGTTAATGCCGACCAGTGTTCCCATCTCATACTTCCCAATGTTGCTTAGCCCCTGCTTTTTGGATTGCCTGCAGCAACTTCCTATGTAATTAAAGTTCAATTAACAGAGCAGGAGATAAGAACTTCTAATTGTGCTGTAAGATTTGATTGAAAATGAATCCATCTGTGTCATGGAAGCTGTGTTAGCCACAGCAAGGGGAGGTGTGCCTGTGGCTACACACACACAAATTGATTTAACTCTGAAACACAAAGAATTGAGTAGTGAGACTGGCATGAACTATACAACAACGTCAAAGTCAACGGTTCTACCATAAGCTCCACCACGCAGGCTCGCTGCCTAGGTGTTCTCTTTGACTCCGACCTCTCCTTCAAGCCTTATGTTCAATCTATTGCCAGATCCTGTCATTTCCATCTCAAAAACATTGCATGCATCCGCCCCTACTTAACACCAGATGCGACTAAGGTGTTGGTCCATTCCACTGTCCTTTCTCGCCTTTCTACTGTAATCGGCTTCTCAGTGGTCTTACGTCCTCCCAACTTGCGCCGTTACGGTCCATAATGAATGCGGCAGCGAGGCTCATCTTCCTGTCCGCCTGCACCTCCCAAGCCTCACACTTCTGTCAGTCCCTACATTGGCTTCCTATAAAATATAGAGCTCAATTTAAAATTCTGGTTCTTGCTTTCAAATCTCTACATAATGCTGCTCCCACCTATCTATCCTCCCTTATACACAAGTATGTTCCGTCTAGACCCTTACGATCTGCTGAAGACTTACGACTTACCTCTGATGCTCGCCTTCAAGATTTCTTGAGGGCTGCACCGTTCCTGTGGAACTCGCTTCCCTCCTCCGTTAGATGCTCACCCAGTCTCCAATCCTTCAAAAAATCGTTAAAGACCCACTTCTTCATAAAAGCGTATCAATTAAACTGTTAATAGCTCCTGACTGATATCTCTTCTGCAACTGTCACTAGTCTAATACTATCCTTACCTTTTTGTGTCATTTTACCTCACTCCCTCTAGCATGTAAGCTCATCGAGCAGGGCCCTCAACCCCTCTGTTCCTGTGTGTCCTACTTGTCTGGTTACAACTACATATCTATTCGTCTACCCATTGTAAAGCACTGCGGAATCTGATGGCGCGATATAAATATCATAATAATAATAATAATAACAAAATTGCTTCTTTGAAAGGACACTATTGTAGCTCATGGGGTCAGAATAGAACAGAGGAAACAACGCACAACCTCCCTATTTTGAAATGGAATTTAAAAAAACGCTAGTAAAACCATCATGCAATAATATAGTACCTGTATCCTCTGACTTGTTCTATCCAGATATTGTCCGTTGTCATGGCCCCCGGAGAGATCTGCCACTTATTGTGGAGTTCTTGTTCCTGACAGAATCTCTGGGGAGGCCTGGTGCGTCTAAGAGTGTGGCGTGTCTCCGCCATTGCTGAAGGCCTCACAATAACTGGAGGCCCGTCTGCCAATGCTGCATCTCTCAGCTCCTCTTGCAGCCACTCCATGCCATGCTCCCAGACTGCTGCCTTGATTCCTGCCCTCAGGGCTTCCAGACCAATGCCTGAGGACACAGACGCCATCTGAAAAGGAAGGAAACAAAGAAAAAATCGACAAAAGAACAACAAAGGTAGGTACAACAAGGGTAGGGACAACAAAGGGTCTGTGGGGCTAATTAGCAAAAGGCCGGCTTTCACACAATGCCCGTGTTAAATACCAGCGGAAACCCCTCCTACCCACTTCCTCTCCCCTCCACACACTCCCTCCCCCCTCTATGCCAGCCACCTTAGCTCTGTCAAGGCCCTATTCCACTGCTTTGCTGTTCCATAGGCTACATTTGTTTCTGTTTAAGCAGCCTGAACCACACCTCTGCCCCGGCTGTGACTCACACAGCCTGAATG